GCTTTCTGTTGCTGTTGCATGTTTTTACTTTTTTTTTTTTTTTTTTTTGAGATGGAGTCTCAGTCACCCAGGCTGGAGTGCAGTAGCTTGATCTCAGCTCACTGCAACCTCCACCTCCTGGGTTCAAGCAATTATCCTGTCTCAGCCTCCCAAGTAACTGGGATTACAGGCACGTGCCACCGTGCTTGGCTAATGTTTTTATTTTTAGTAGAGATGGGGTTTCACCATGATGGCCAGGCTGGTCTCAAACTCCTGACCTTGTGATCCGCCTGCCTCGGACTCCCAAAGTGCTGGGATTACAGGCGTGAGCCACAACACCCAACCTTCTTCCTTCTTCTTTCTTCTTCTTTTTTTTTTTTTTTTTTTTTTTGAGACAGGGTCCCATTCTGTTGCCCAGGCTGGAGTGCAGTGGCACTATCATAGCTCATTGCAGCCTTGAACTCCTGGGCTCAATCCCTCCCTCCTCAGCCTTCTGAGTAGCTGAGACTATAAGCATGTACCACCATGCCTGGCTAATTAAAAAAAATTTTTTTTTGTAGAGTCAAGAGTCTAACTATGTTATCCAGGTTGGTCTCAAACTCCTAGGTTCAAATGATCCTCCCTCCTCTGCCTCCCAAACTGCAGGAATTACAGGCCTCAGCCACCACAACTGGCCAGGAATCACAGTTTTGAATTTTCAGGCTGACAGCCTCCAATATGGTGAACTAGGGGAACTACACAAAAAATATGAGTTCAGGTACAATGCAATTGGCGGTTGACCCCCTAGCCGCAGTAGCCCTGGCTGGCTGTGGAGGCCTGCCCTCGACCCCTCAGGAATCTGCCCATCATGTGGCCTCCACATTTTACACTAAGTCAGCTTTCAGCATCTCATGTATCACCAGACTTATCTCCCAGCGAGGCTCCAAATTCCTATCTTCACCAGCAAGGCATCTTTTTCCCTGCACTCCTGCTATTAAATGATATCTTATTCTTCTCTGATGGTACCTTTCCCTGACTATTGAGGTGACATGTCTTGTCACATGCTTATTGGTGGATTTGCTGTGCTGCAGGGGATCTCACCTGGCGGCAATTTTGCTGCTCCCTTCCCCCTGGGGACATTTGGGCCGTGTCTGGAGACATTTTTAGTTGTTGGAACTAGGCTGGCATTGAGTGGATAGTGACCAGGGTATTCCTAAACATCCTACAACACACAGGATAGGCCCTCACAGCAAAGAATTATCAGTCCCAAAGCATCAATAGTGCTGAGGCTGAGAAATCCTGCTTTGCTGGGATGGCTGGGAAGATTTTTTTTGTCTTTAAAAAAAATCAATTTACAGATGCTCTTGACAAGGCATTAACCTTTTATCTATCATCTGCATTGCAAATATTTCCCCGAAATCTATGTTCTTTTAGTTTTGTTTATGGTATCTTTTGCAGCAAATACAGAAAATTAATGTAGTCAAATGTGTGTTTCGTTTTTATTATAGCCTCTGTGTTTCCTGTCATGGTTGAGGTCCCCTCCGCTCTTATTGAGTGCATATGGTTTTTGATTTCTACTATATTAAGATTTGTATTGTTCTATTCTTTAGGCCTTTAATCTACCTACAATTGATTTTTATGAATGTGAATGGTGGGAGGTTATCGGGAGAAACCCCACCCCCGATATTTATTGTGGGTTATTTTCTATTTCCTAAGTGTCTCAGCTGGTTTGAGAAATAAAGGGAAAGAGTACAAGAGAGAGAAATTTTAAAACTGGGTGTCCGGGGGAGACATCACACTTTGGCATGTTCTGTGATGCTCCCCAAGCCGTAAAACCAGCAAGTTTTTATTAGCGATTTTCAAAAGGGGAGGGAGTGCACAAATAGGGTGTGGGTCACAGAGATCACATGCTTCACAAGGTAATAAAATATCACAAAGCAAGTGGAGGCAGTGCAAGATCACAGGACCACCAGATGGGGTGAAATTAAAATTGCTAATGAAGTTTCGGGCACGCATTGTCATTGATAACATCTTATCAGGAGACAGAGTTTGAGAGCAAACAACCTGTCTGACCAAAATTTCTTAGGCAGGGGAATTTCCTTGTCCTAATAAGCCTGGGAGCACTACAGGAGACCGGGGCTTATTTCATCCCTTCGGCTTCGACTGTAAAAGGCGGCCACCTTAAGGGGGCTGTCTATAGACCTACCCTCAGGGATGTTCTTTGCTGAGAAAAAGAATTCAGCAATATTTCTCCTATTTGCTTTTGAAAGAAGAGAAATATGGCTCTGTTCCACCTGGCTCACCGGCAGTCAGGCTCCAAGTCTTTTCTCCCTTGCTCCCTGAAGATTGCTGTTATCCTGTTCTTTTTTCAAGGTGCCCAGATTTCATATGGTTCAAATACGCATGCTCTACAAACAATTTGGCAGTTAATGCAATCATCACAGGGTCCCGAGGCGACATTCATCCTCCTCAGCTTACGAAGATGACGGGATTAAGAGATTAAAGTAAAGACAGGCATAGGAAATCACAAGGGTATTGATTGGGGACAGCTTACGAAGATGACGGGATTAAGAGATTAAAGTAAAGACAGGCATAGGAAATCACAAGGGTATTGATTGGGGAAGTGATAAGTGTCCATGAAATCATCACAATTTATGTTCAGAGATTGCAGTAAAGACAGGTGTAAGAAATTATGAAAGTATTAATTTGGGGAACTAATAAATGTCCAGAAAATCTTCACAATTTATATTTGTGTTCTTCTGCCGTGGCTTCAGTCGGTCCCTCCGTTTGGGGTCCCTGACTTCCTGCAACAGGAGGTGAGGACCCAAATATATTTTTTTCCAGGTGGAGAATCAGGTTTTTTTTTTTTTTTTTCCATATTAGATTAACTATCCTTTCCCTCTGAATTAAAATCCTACCTCTGTCATGTATCAACTTTACAAAATACACATACACACATTTGTATGCATGTGTGCGTGCATGAACACTTACTTACTCCTGGGATCCACCTTTTTTTCCCAGTGATACTTGCCAATCTTAGCATAAGACCTTTCAATCTTAGTTACATGGCTTTGTCATATGTAGTACCACAGAGGCTAGTTCTCACATGTATTCTTTCTTCCCGTCTTAAATCATTTTTTTGGCCATTTCAGACATTTACTTTTTTCTCTTATTTATTTTTAGGTCCCAAAATAGAAGTAAAGGAAACCCTCCTCACTTTTAACCTGGGCTCTAGTGCCTTGCTTTCTGTTTTCTCGGCACTGTGAGCACTCCTCGCATGCCATCAGGAGGACTGTCGTTAGAGTTACCGGTTGTGGGACTCCTCCCGCCTGCCAGCCTGGTTCTGTGCCATGTCCCTGGCCCTGCATGGTGACTGACACAAGCTGGTGCTCATTAGATATTGGCTGAATGAATGAACAGTGAAGGATGCAGATCTCCTTTGTTTTAAATGTTAAAATTAAGTTCATTTCTTGTGTTGCTTTGAGTATAAGGGAGCAGAGGCTGGTCTGGTCTTTGTCATTGCCAAGGTGTGGCCTTGGACCGTTGCTTCTCTCTTCTGCTTCAACTTTCTTACCTGTAGAACTGAACCCAGTAAGCTCTGAGTCTTTATACCAGTGCAGTCATAAAATAGGATGTAAATTTATGTATTTTTTTGAGACAGGATCTCACTCTGTCACCCAGGTTGGAGTGCAGTGGTGCAATGATGGTTCACTGTGACCTCAGCTTCCCAAGTAGCTGGGACCACAAGTGTGCATCACTATGCCCAGCTAAATTTTCTTTCTTGTATATTTGGAGAGACAAGGTTTTGCCAAGTTGCTCAGCCCGGTCTCGAACTCCTGGGATCAAGTGATCTGCCCACTTTGGCCTCCCAAAGTGCTGGGATTATGGGGGTGAGCCACTGCACTCAGTCTATTTTAAATATTTTTTGCCCACAAAGGCAAATGTGTCAAGGGCTCATAAAGTCATAATGTAGCCCTGCTAAACACCACCCAAAACTTGGCATTAGGAGCATAGCAGTCCCAGGCAGAGTGGAAACGTGGGGAGAATCAGCAGCCGTTTGTCTGGCTACTGCCAGAAATAAAAACACATGCACTGAAGGTGAGTGTAGGAGGCTCCCTTGTCCCCTGGGCTGTTCCCTGAGCAAACCTGATTCCAAGTTGGCACAATGGAGCAGAAAAATTCAATAACCAGACATCCCAGCTGTGCCTCATGCTTCCTGTGTGAGTGTGGACTAGTCACTTAACCTCTGGGAGCCTCATTGCCTCATTTGGGAAATCATAACACTCCTTCCTTTTTCTTTTTTTAGACAGAGTCTCTCTCTGTCACCCAGACTGGAGTGCAGTGGCGCGATCTCGGCTCACTGCAAGCTCTGCCTCCAGGGTTCACGCCATTCTCCTGCCTCAGCCTCCGGAGTAGCTGGGACTGCAGGTGCCCGCCACCATGCCCAGCTAATTTTTGTATTTTTAGTAGAGATGGGGTTTCACCATGTTGGCCAGGATTGTCTCAATCTCCTGACCTCATGATCCGCCTGCCTTGGCCTCCCAAAGTGCTGGGATTACAGGCATGAGCCACTGTGCCCGGCCAGTAACATCCCTTTCATTGGACTGTTCGGTCATTCAAGTAATCACTCAACATGTGTTTTTTGAGCACCTACTGTGTTCCAGGCACTGTTCTAGGTGCTGAATACACATAACAGTGTGCCCCAGCACACCTAGTCCAGTGCCGGCACAAAGTAGGTTCTCGTTAAACACTTGTTGAATGAATGATTGGAAAACAGGTGGGGAGGAGGTACCAACAATAAATAAGTGAATACATGCATGATACATATATAATGATAAACACCAACATATGGTTCTATCCAGTGTAAAATGTCATTACAAAGAAGGTAAGGTGCTAGGAAGGAAAGGAACAGGTGCCAGGGACAGAAGATGATGGGGGTTGGGAGCCAGGACAGGGGAGCATCTGCTCAGATGGAGTGCTCAGGGTAGGCTTCTTTGAGGAGGCCTACGGGGAGTGATGGGACTGGTTCTTGCTGGTTGCAGGCATCCAGCCCGCACTGTGGAGCAGGGAGGACGTGCTGCACTGGCTGCACTGGGCAGAGCAGGAGTACTCTCTGCCATGCACCGCGGAGCACGGGTTCGAGATGAATGGACGCGCCCTCTGTATCCTCACCAAGGACGACTTCCGGCACCGCGCACCCAGCTCAGGTCAGAGAGGCTAACGGGTTTTCCTCTAAGTAGGAACACTGGTAGGCCAGGACGGCCCAGGTACCCCAGGGGGGTCCAGGGAGGGAGATGGAGGAGGTCTTCCTTGGGGAACCATGCTCATTTCCAGCACTGCAGATGCCCCTCTGCACATGCGTGTGTCTGATGGGTCCTAGCTAGAGCAGGCCTTGGAGGCGAGGGAGTCCATTTGACCACGTGTTTTCAGAGCTGTAGTGGCCTGTTCTGCTGTCCCACTTTCTCTTCCCCTTATCTGTGGCCCTTGTCTCCTTTACCCACTTCCATCCTATTGCCTCCCACCCCCTACCCCTACTGAACAAAAAACCAACTAGAGAAAGATCAGATATTCATTCACACCGAGGTATAAATGGCTGGTAACAGCAAAAGCCTTGACTCTCAATATGACTTTTGATTTTAACCAGAAACTAGGTCTGAGGGCAAAGGAATGAACGTCAGATTATGGTGTTCCAGCAGCACGAAGTTTGTGGGGAGGGACTGGTGGTGGGAGGGAGGGTGGCCAGTGGTATTGGGCAGCAGGGCCTTCCAGGAATCTCTAGAATTGCATTTGAGTCTTATTTGGCTTGTTTTCAGGTGGCTCTTATGTTTGTGCTGATTTGGTGTCTTTTTTTAAGAATTCGCTGATGTTTTCTGTGTACGCTGTCTTTTGGTCAAGCAGGCCCACAGTGTATGTGGCAAAGAGACGTTCTAAAATCTGCTGATTTGCTCCTTTTCTTCTTAACACGCACAGCCAGTCTCATGTCACATCCCAAGTTCTTTCTTTCTTTCTTTCTTTCTTTTTTTTTTTTGAGACAGAGTCTCACTCTGTCGCCCAGGCTGGAGTGCAGTGGCGCGATCCTGGCTCACTGCAACCTCTGCCTCCCAGGTTCAAGCAATTCTCCTGCCTCAGCATCCTGAGTAGCTGGGATTACAGGCGCACACCACCATGCCTGGCTAATTTTGTATTTTTGGTAGAGATAGAGTTTCGCCATGTTGGCCAGGCTGGTCTCAAACTCCCAACCTCAGGTGATTTGCCCACCTCGGCCTCCCAAAATGCTGGGATTACAGGCATGAGCCACCACTCCTGGCTGACATCCCAAGTTCTATCACCCACTTCCCTCCACAAGCCTCCCACCCACTTCCCTCCTTGAGCCTCTTGTAGCAGCTGCTGGAACTTTCGTCCTTCTAAGAGTTTGGATTCAAGAGCTCAGTGGGAGGTGAGGGGAAGGCAGGGACAGAGAGACAAGGCTTCCAGCTTCCCCACAGCCCTAATGGTCCTGTGCCAAGGCAAAGCGGGGAAGCAGGTGAGCTTGGGGCTGGTCGCCTTCATGCCCTTGTTCATCTCTCCATCTTCCTACAAGCACTCCTGGTGCTCGAGTAACCACTCTCTACATTGTATCCCGGTGGGTGCCTGGGATCCCCAGGTTGGCTCTCTACCCATGGATCCCCTCTTTCCTGTCCTACTATCAGCACCTTAGCCTAAGGTATGAGTCAAGGGAAATTTCTGGGACCCTGGACACAGCCCAATTCTGTTTGTTTTTTTTTTTCTTTTTGTAATAGGGTCTCACTCTATTGCCCAGACTAGAGTTTGGTGGTGTGAACACAGCTCACTTCAGCCTCAACCTCCTGGATTCCAGTGATCCGCCTGCCTCAGCTTCCCAAGTAGCTGGGACCACAGACATGTGCCACCATACCCAGCTGATTTTTAAACTTTTTGTAGAGACAGGGTCTATCCATGTTGCCCAGGCTGGTCTCAAACTCCTGGGCTCAAGCAATCCTCCTGCCTTAGCCTCCTAAAGTGTTAGGATTACAGGTGTGATCCATCGCACCTGGCCTTTCTTTTTTTCAACCATTTATTGAAGCGGCTACTAATTCTGCCTTTTAGGAAGAGGCTAAGACAGCTTTGCTCCTTAGAAGGCAGGGGCAGACTTTTTAAAAAGCTTGGAATCCCATGAGCCTTAGAACTGTCTCTGCCCCCAGAAACGTGAGGTACAGTGGTACAGTTTATGCACTGTGCACAAGCCCTCAGCCAAGGGTGTGTGCGGGGATTGAGAAGCAGCCTGACCTTGCAAGCTGCATGCCCTGGAGGCGGCCGCGTCTACTGGCAGGATAGGTTGTCTTTCTAAAATTCATCCACCATGGGAGCAGTAGCGTCCCTGCCCATCGCCAGCCCAGCCTCCTGTTAGCTGCAGCAGGAACCCCTTCGCCAGCAGCACGAAGCTGTGACAGGACATGCCAGCCCTCACCCTGAGGCAGGTGGCTGCAGGGGGCCAAGGCTGACCCTCCCCACATGGCCTGTTCAGCAGCCTGCCCTCCCTCCCACCCATGTCCAGGTGACGTCCTGTATGAGCTGCTCCAGTACATCAAGACTCAGCGGCGAGCCCTTGTGTGTGGGCCTTTTTTTGGAGGGGCCTTCAGGATGAAGATGCCCACCCAGCACTCTCCAGTCTCCCTGGAAGGTGAGGAAGCTGTTTGTGGTGCTCTGAGTACCTCCCTCAAATCAGCCTCACTGGGAGGGCAGGACGTCCTCAAGGCAAAGCAATGAAGGAGGTGGCCAGTGTGGGCAAGCTCCCCTCCCTCCCCGCCCCCACCTCCTGTCTGGGGTGCTCCTGGCAGCCCTCCCTCTGTGCTGCACCCTCCCTGCCTCTCACCTCCCCGTTTCTCTGCTATCTCCAGCAAAGAGCTGTTTGTATCGTGTCTCAATTTCCTCTCTGGAGCCCTCCGTGGAAACCACTCTTGTCAGGGTCTCCAGAAACCTGAAAATAAGGATGTCCATGCCATGGCCATTCTCAGTCCTGATTTACTGTGGCCTCTCACAGCCTTCGACCCTGGGGGTCACCTCTTCTTCCCCCAAAACTCTTTCTTCCCTTGGCTTCCAGGACACCCCACTCACCTGGTCTCCTCTACCCCACTGGTGTCTCCTCGACCTCCTGGTTTCTACTCTTCTCGCCTGCTTCTAGAAGTTGGGGTACCCCAGGGTCAGAGGACCTCTCTGCTTCTCTATCTGCACTCAGATGCTGGGAAATCTCATCTGATCCTGGATCTTAAACACCATGTGGTGCCAATGATTCCAATATATGCCTCAGCCTCTCCAAATTCCAGATATGTGCACCCACGCTGCCTGCCCCACCCCTCTACTGGGGCATCTAGTAGGCATCTCAACCCCCACAGCCCCTAAACCGAATGCCTGATATCCTGCCCTTTTCAGTCTTCCCCAGCCCCACAAACCCCGCCTCCACACTTCCAATTGCTCAGATGTCATTTCTACCCCCACCCCCACTCATCCCAACTGTCCACAAATCCTGTCAGCCCTACCCTCAAACCTATCCAGAATCCAGCCTTTTCTCATTCCTCCCCTGCTGCCCCGTTCCAGTCCCCACTGCCTCTGGAGAATGTCCTCACTGGTCTCCTTGCTTCTGCTCTTGACCTCCTGTGATCTGTTCTCCACAGCGCAGGGAGATTCAGAAGTAGGTCACATCACTTTTCTGCTCGGCATCTTCCAGCGGCTCCCTTCTCACTCGGAGTCCAAGTGCAGTTCTTCCGCTGACTCCTTCCCCTTCCAGTCTTCTCTCTCTTGCTCCTGCTGCTCCAGTCATATGGGCTTTCTTGTTCATTGGACAAGCCTGAGATGCTCCTGCCCCAGGGCCTTTGCAATTACTGTTCCCTCTGCCTGGCATCCCCTCCCTGCTCTAGAAACCCACAGATCTCACTCCTCTACCTCCTTCGGGTCTGTTCAAATGCTACTGTCAGGAAGGCCTGAGCAGCCTCTCAAAAGTGGGAACTCCTGCTCCTTTCCCAGATCTCCCTCTCTGCCTTAGGGTGATTTATTTTGTTCTTCCCACATTGTATACTGTTTCTGTTTCCTTTTTATTTTAACCGTCCATCTCCCCTGCTCTCAACTAGCATAGAAGCTCCCTGAGGGCAGGGGCTTTTGGGGGCTCAGCGATATATCCTCAAGATTCTTAGAACAATGCCTGGTTCATAGAAGGCTCTCAATAAATACTTGGGCAAATGGAGAGGTGGGATACAGCGCCCCTGGGTTCTAGACCTGGCTCTGTCACTGCTTGGCTTTGCAGCCAATTTCACAGATGAGGGAACAGGCTTGACAGATTTTTACTTGTGTGGGAGCTGGGGTTAGCACCTAGGCTGTCTGGCTCTCACCCACTGCCCCCCACTGCCTCCCTGACCTTCTAACCAGGGGCTGGACAGAGGAAGAGCATCAGGAGTGCTGCCCCACAGGGCTCCCAGGCTCACCATTGAGGGATTGAGTTGGGGAGGCTTGGGGCCCACTGCCTGCTACCACTGGTGCTCATCTGCTTGCAGAGGTGACTGGCCCTTCTCAGATGGACACCCGAAGTGGTCACCTGCTGCAGCCACCAGACCCAGGGCTTACCAGCTCCTTTGGCCATCTGGATGACCCTGGCCTGGCCAGGTGGACCCCTGGCAAGGAGGAGTCCCTCAACTTATGTCACTGTGCAGAGCTCACCTGCAGGACTCAGGGGGTCTGTGCCTTCCCTGCGATGCCACAGGCCCCCATTGATGGCAGGATCGCTGGTGAGTGGGAGGCTGCTCCTCTGGCCATGGGAAGGTGCCCTGAGTCTGAGTCCCAGCATCACGAGTGATAAGGACAGGGCTATTTTGACCTGGTGATGGGAGGTCTGTGGCTGGGGGATTTCGGAGTAGCATGACTGTCCTGTGTGCTGGCCACAATCTGGTTACAGTGGGCAGTGATACCTGGGATCACCAAGCCTCACCCTGTCTCCCACAGAGGGACAATTTACCAGTCATATTCTGACACTCACATTAGCATGGAGTGCCACACCTGCCTTTTAAAACTTTATCTATTTTAAAATAATTGAGCATTCATTATGTGCCAGGCATGGTTCCCAGGCCCTTATTTAATTCTACAATGGCCTTTTGAGTTTGGTACTATTATTAGCCCCATTTCACAGATATGGAAATTGAGACACAGAAAGGTTAAGTAACTTCTCCAAGATCACACAGCACTGGTAGAGTTGGGATGTGAACCCAGGCAGTCTGGCTCCAGAGCCTGAGTGCTAACCAAATGATACACTTCCTCTCTGCATTCATTGTTAAAGGATTAGCAGGCAGACAACCTGACAGACTGACAGGTAAGCTGAAGGGTGTTTTTCTAGTCATAATATTTACACTGCATTTCTTCTTCTTCTTCTTTTTTTTTTTTTCCAACTTTTAGGTTCAGGGGGTACATGTGCAGGTTTGTTACATGGGTAAATTGCGTGCCACTGAGCTTTGGTGTATGAATAATCCTGTCACCAAGATACTGAGCATAGTACCTGATACGTAGTTTTTCTTTTCTTTTCTTTTCTTTTCTTTTTTTAGATGGGAGTCTGGTTCTTTTGCCCAGGCTGGAGTGCAGTGGCAAAATCTCAACTCACTGCATCCTCTGCCTCCCGGGTTCAAGCAATTCTGCTGCCTCAGCTTCCCAGGTAGCTGGGATTATAGGCGCCCGCCACCACACCCGGCTAATTTTTGTTTTATTAGTAGAGACAGGGTTTCACCATGTTGGCCACAGGCTGGTCTCAAACTCCTGACCTCAGGTGATCCACCCACCTCAGCCTCCTTTGGCGCTGGGATTACAGGCGTGAGCCACCGCGCCCAGCCTGTGATAGGTAGTTTTTCTGCCCTGGCTCTTCCCCTGTAGTGGTCCCCAGTGCCCAGAGTCTATCGTTCCCATCGTTATGTCCACACATTTATTCTATGAAGCCACAGAGTGGGCAGAAGCCTGGCTTTTGGGTTGGAAATGACTAGAAGTCACTAAAAAACAATGATTGGCCCAAAACATAGAAATGATGAATACTTGAGGTGATGGTGTCCTGAGTACCCTGACTTGATCATTACACATTCTATGCATGCAACAAGATCTCACATGTGCACCAGAAATACGTACAAATATTATGTATCAATAAAACACACAATGATCCACAATAATTGGATTTTTTTTTTTTTTTTAAGAGACTGAGTCTCACTCTGTCGCCCAGGCTGGAGTGCAGTGATGCAACCATAGCTCACTGCTGCCTCAAATTCCTGGGCTCAAGGAATCCTCCCACTTCAGCCTCTTGCAATTACTGTATTCTTCAATTATAATGCTTAACATTCTTCGTGCACTTACACTATCCCAGGCACTGTGCTGAAGGTTTTGTGGTCTATTATGTTACCTAATTCCCTCACCACCCCATACCAGGAAACTGGCTCAGAGGCGGTTGTGTAACTTGCCTGCAATGACCCAGCCGACAGGCCCAGGTCCTGGGATTCAAGATCACACAGTTGCTCCCAGATGCCCACTTACCCTCCCAATGGCATGCTTGGTTTTCCTGAACTTCACCATTAGGGAACTTGAAGGGGTGGATGTTATAATTAATAGAAGTCCAGGGGGCTGAGTAAGTGGGCCAGGGGCAGAGAGGGACCTGCGGTCAGGGGCCTGGCCACTCGGCCTGTGGGCCCAGCACCTACCCTCACGTGGCTCTGATGTCGGGTGGAGCCGGTCAGACTCCCCGCTTTGCCTGCCACTTAGGAGCTGGGCAACGTTAGACACCTCTGCACCTCTGAGCCCATTTCCTCACCTCTTCCTGGGGATAAAGGTAGCCACTTCCCAGACTCATGAGACAATGCATGAGGAGCCCCGTTAGTGGCCGTTTCTGTGGATACCATCATTTTCACCATTCTGCTGGTGCTCCCAGGGCCCTGGCCAGGAGGCCTCCAAGAGCGCCTTTCTAACACCTGTCCTCACAGCTCCAGTAAAGCTGCCTGCACTCCCTGTGCTAAATTGCAGACTGCCGGCTGCTGTGGGAATACGTGTATCAGCTGCTCCTTGACCCCCGGTATGAGCCCTACATCAGGTGGGAAGACAAGGACGCCAAGATCTTCCGAGTTGTGGATCCAAATGGGCTCGCCAGACTCTGGGGAAATCACAAGGTGAGCCTTGGCCGGCAGGATGGTCTCGACGTAACCAGAAGGCGACAGAGTTGGGAGTCAGAGTGGACTGCTAGCACTATGGGACAATCCTCAGCTGATGGCGCCTTCACCAGCAGCCCCAGAAGCGTCAGGATAACTTTATTTGGGGAGCTATTGAGGGACAGGCAGTTACCTCTTATGGACAGGGAATGTCTCTGAAACGGAACAATTGTGTCTTCTCATTGCTTAATCTTACCTTTGCTTAGCATTTTAGCCTTTAGAAGCATGTTTACTGAACTGCACAGTTAGGCCAGATGAGGAAGCTGCTTTCCTGCGGGGAGCTGGACAGAAACCCAGGTCTCAGGCCCAACAGGAGCATCCGATGTCAGGGCTGGAAAGGCCTGGGGATGACTGAAGCCAGCATTCCCATGAGGAGGAATGCCTGTACCTAAATGGGCGTCTGCAAGATGATCTTAGGTGGTTTAATATCCTTATAATTATTTATTTTTGAATTAGGATTACAAAATGTATCTACCGTGACCATCTCATGATTTATAGCAGTGATATAAGGAATGTAGCCTTTTAAAATAAATAGATTTCTTTAAGTAAAAAAATCTTTTAAAGAAAACTATTAATGATAATGATAATCATCAATTTATAGCCTTTCCTAAGATGTAATAGTGCCTGATTGCCAGGCATTGCCCTGAGAGCTCTACTTGTATTAATTCATTTAATTCTCATACCAACCTCATAAGAGGTTTTATCAAATGTGGAGACTGGGGCTCAGTGAGGGCTAACAACTTGCCCCAAATTTACCCATCCCCTGCTATGTAAGAGGCAGAGCAGGGACTTGAACCCAGGCTGTGGGTTCAAGAGCTAAGAGCAATATTCTATTGCTCTTAGCAGTGCTGGTGGCTGGAAGGATGCAGATGACTAAAGTTCAGAGGACGTATTGGTCTAATCCTCGTATAGAA